AAAGATAACATGGCACATGTATTATTATGCAGGGGTAAACCCCCTTGTGGAGCTCCATGTTAATTCCAACAAACACCCTACTTGGAACGATCCTCAATTTTTCCTTCACATATACTTTAGAAAAGCCCTGGCCACTCATTCCCTGTACACTGTATGAATGGAAGAAGCCGTAGGTCTCACATCCTCTGATCAAAAGCTTCCATATGTCATCTGTTTCCAACCACACAGACTGGTTCAGATATATCAAGGACATCAAGGACCTTGGATCTGAGATTTTTAAAAGAAAAAGAAAAAGAAATCCCATGGTAACCATAAACCAAAAATCTATAATACATACACAAAAAAAAGAGAAAGAAATCCAACTATAACACTAAAGAAAGTCATCACACACAAAGGAAGATAGCAAGAGAAGAAGAAAGGATCACAAAAGAATGATAAAAACAACCAGAAAGCATTTAACAAAATGGTAATAAGTACATGCATATCAATAATTCCTCTAAATGTAAATGGACTAAATGCTCCAATGAAAAGACAGAGAGTAACTGAATGGATAAATAAATATGATTCACCTATATGCTACCTACAAGGGACTTACTTCAGACCTAAAGACACACACAGACTGAAACTGAAGAGATGGAAAAAGATACTCCATGCAAATGGAAATAAAAATAAAAGCTGGAGTAGCAGTACTTATATCAGACAAAGTAGACTTTAAAACACAGACTGTAACAAGTGACAAAGAAGGACACTGCATGAAGATTAAGGGCTCAATCCAACAAGAATATAATAACTGTAAATATCTCTGCACTCAATATAGAAGCAACTAAACATATACGGCAAATATTAATAGACATAAAGGAAGAAATTGACAGTAATAAAATAATAGTAGAGATCTTTAACACCCCACTTACATCAATGGATAAATCACCAAGACAGAAAATCAATAAGGAAACAGTAGCTTGGAATGACACATTAGACCAAATGGACTTAACAGATATATACAGAACATTATATCCCCAAATAACAGAATACACATTCTTTTCAAGGGCACATGGAACATTCTCTAGGATAGATCACATGTTAGGTTACAACATAAGTCTCAATAAATTTGTGAAGATTGAAATCATATTAAGCATTTTTTTTCCAACCACAATGGTATGAAATAGAAATCAATTACAAGCAAAAAACAGAAAACATGCAAACACATAGGGGCTAAACAGCATGTTACTAAAAAACCAATAGATCATTGAAGAAATCAGAGGAAATCAAAATATACTTGGAGAAAAATGAAAATAGAAACACAATCATTCAAAATCTTTGCACCATGCAAAAGCAGCTCTAAGAGGGAAATTTATAGCAATACAGTCCTACTTCAAGAAACAAGAAATATCTCAATCTAATTCTACACCTAAAGAAACTAGAAAAAGAACAAAGCCCAAAGTAAAACAAAGGAAATAATACAGATTAGAGCAGAAACAGAGACAAAAAATATATAAAAGATTAATGAAGCTAAGAGCTAGTTCTTTGAAAAGATAAAATTGATAAACCTTTAGCTAGACTCATCAAGAAAAAAAGAGATGGCTCAAATAAATAAAATCAGAAATGAAAGAAAAAGTTACAACCAATATCACAAAAATACAATTATAAAAGATTACTATGAATAATTATATACCAACAAATTGGACAACCTTGAAGAAATGGATAAATTCTAGGAACATTCAATCTTCCAAGACTGAACCAGGAAGAAATAGAAAATCTGAACAGAGCAATTACTAGTCATAATATTGAATTGGTCCTCAAAAACCCACAACAAACAAAAGTACGGGACCAGATGGATCCACGGGAGACTTCTACTAAATATTTAAAGAAGAGTTAATACCTATCCTTCCAAAACTATTGCAAAAAACTGAAGGGGAAGGAAAGCTTCCAAATTCATTCTAAAGGCCAGCAGCATCCTGATATCAAACCAGACAAAGACACTACAAAATAAGAAAATTGCAGACCAATATTTCTGATGAACATATATCTGCAAAATTCCTGAGCACAATATTAGCAAACCAAATTCAAAAATTCATTAAAAGGATCAATAACAACAATCAAGTGGGATTTATTCCAGGGTTGCAGGGATGGTTCAACATCCATAAATCTGTCAACATGGTATACCACATTGACAAAAGGAAGGATAAAAACAGTATGATCATCTCAATAAATGTTGAAAAAGCATTTGACAAAATTCAACATCTATTTATAATAAAAACTCTAAACAAGTGGTTACAGAGGGAATATATTTCAATGAAGACCACATATGACAAACCCACAGCTAACATCTTACTCAATGGTGAAAAGCTGAAAGCTTTTCCTCTAAGGTCAGGAATAAGACAAGGATGCCCAGTCTCATCACTTTTATTCAGTATAGTACTGGAAGTCCTAGCCACAGCAATCAGACAAAGAGATAAAAAGCATCCAAACTGGTAAGGAAGAAGTTAAACTGTCACTATTTGCAGATGACATAATACTATATATAGAAAACCCTACAGATTCCACCAAAAAAATTATTAGGTAATAAATTAATTCAGTAAAACTGCAGGATACCAAATCTATAAACAGATATCTGTTGTGTTTCTATGTACAAATAACAAACCAGCAGAAAGAGAGACTAAGAATATAATCCTATTTACAATTGCATCAAAAAGACCAAAATACCTAAGAGTAAATCTAACCAAGAAGGTGAAAGACCTATACTCTGAAAACTACAAGACACTGGTGAAAGAAATTGAAGATACAAATAAATTGAAAGCTATTGATATTAAAGATTAATAAATAAATAATAATAAAGAATTAATACTGTTAAAATGGCCATACTGCCCAAAGCAATCTACAGATTCAGTGCACTTCTTATCAAACTACCAATTACATTTTTCATGGAACTAGAGCAAATAATCCTAAAATTGGTATGGAACCACAAAAATCCCTGAATAGCCAGAGCACTCTTGAGAAAGAAAAATAAAGTGGGTGGTATCACATGCTGTGATTTCAAACTATAATACAAAGCTATAGTAATCAAAACAGTATGGTACTGACATAAAAACAGATACATAGACCAATGGAACAGAATAGAGAGACCAGAAATAAACCCATGCCTATATGGTCCGTTAATACATGACAAAGGAGGTAAGAATATAACAAAATCACTAATTTGAAAAGACATATGTTTAGCACTCCTATGTTTATTGCAGCATTATTCACAAAAGCCAACATATGGAAGCAACCTAAGTGTCTATTGATAGATGAATGGATCAAGAGGATGTGGTATATATCCAATGGAATATTGCTCAGCCATAAAAAAGAATAAAATTTTTCCATTTGTGATAACATGAATGGACCTAGATGGCATTATGCTAAGTGAAATAAGTTAGACAGAGAAAGACGAATACCATATGATTTCACTTACATGTGGAATCTAAAATAAAAACCTAACAAAACAGAAATAGACTGATAAACACAGAGAACAGCCTGCTGGTTGCCACAGGGGAGGAAGGTGTGGGGATGCGTGAAATAGTTGAAGGGGATAAAGAAGTTCAAACTTCTAAATATAAAATAAATTAGTGACACAGATGAAAGTACAGCATAGGAAATAGAGGCAATAGTATTGTAATAATTTGGTATAGTGACAGATGGTAACTACATTTATTGTGGTGAGCATTTAGTAATGTACATAATTGCTGAATCACTATGTTGTACACCTGAAACCAATATAATGTATATCAGCTGTATTTCAATTTTTTAATTTAATAAAAAAGAAAAGAAAATATGAAAGCATGTAGGTACCTTATTCAGAAGATTTAGAAAATGTTATAATTTGGAAGATTGATCAGAGGAGCCAACAAAAGTTGTGCAGGGCCTCAGCCTAATGACAGAGGCAGGACATCATCAAGACTTGTTCATCAGGAGCTGCCCCTATGCTTCAAGCCAGCACCCCCACTTCCATTACATATTTTCTTAATTCCTCCAGGTTTGGGTTATTCATTCAACAGGCCTTTATTAAGAACCTATTCTGTGCCCAATGCTATGCTAGCCACTGTGGGAATACAAAGCTATACAGGACACAGTCGTGCTCAAGGTATTACATCTATCTTGTTATTCACACTCCCCAACAAGTACATGAACTGGAGAAAAGTCCAGAAACCAAAGATGAAAACTGGTTCAGTGATCAAGTTCACTTAACTCTGGGTCATTTTCCTTTTTGTCCTATTATTTCCTTGTCCTCTTCACCCCACAATTCCTCTGTCCCTGATCTCATTCTTTGAAACTCAGACTGCCTTTCCTCTCTCCTCCTCAAGTTATGGCCCATTTTTGTTCTTCAATATCTTTCTGCTGCCTCATGAAGACTTACCCCAACTCCCTCTGATGCCTGATACCTTCACCTTTTCACAAGCATCACACTAAACCAATCCTAACACATAACACCCACCACCACCAAATACAATGCAGCCTGCAGTTTGAATTATGTTAGCATGTGAATCAAAGAACTGGCAACCACTTGGCGGCAGCATGCCCAAATTCAAATAGCAGGAACTATTCCTAAGTGAGATGGAACAGCCTGCAGTCACAAATCTAAAGTTAGAAAATGCCAGATATGCAAAGTTAAAATTGGAAAAGGATAACCATGTCACAACTATATAGTATCAGGGGTACTCAAGAAGACTGAATTGGGAGTTTGTTACAGTCCTGATAAGTGCAAAAAGAGAGAAAGAATAATAAATTTATTATGGGAGTAGGGGGTGTATCCTCATGGCCATAACCACAAGAAAGAGTCCTGAGTCTTAATGTTTAGCACTAGTGGCAAAAAGTCTGTTGTGTCTCCATATTACCTTAGAGAAAAATGAGGTTAGACTAATTGAATAATCCAGACTATTAGAAACAATGATAAGCCAAATGAAAACACATATATAGACATTTTTCCTTCTGGTATAAGAGGCCATTAATAATAGGATACTTACAATAATACAAGTGTGGCTTTGGGGAATGCAGTCATAGGGAGTCAAATCCTCCTCCTCCGAGATTTGTATCAAATGTCAAATGAGCTCCCATTGATGCTGAAGTCAGTGGGCTGGCATAGAGGCCCTCCTGAGGCTCTTGAATTCTATAAAAACACAGAGACTATATTCTAGTTCTTTAGTAGCTAGAGCATGATCATTATTAGCAGCCCAGCATATCAAACTATTCCTGATATCTTTGGCAATGTGGGGCTCAGAATAACTTTGCAATTGATTCCTTAGTCAAATGATCTCCAATGGATTAAGGAATGCCTATTGTATCCTAGATGTCTGAAAATAGCTTCTCCCTCTCTCTTTAGGGCTTTTCTATTTCTAGGGGAGTGCATCTATAGTTTTCATCCATAATAAGACACCCAAGCCAAGAAGTTCAATGGTAAAAAGTATGGAGTATTTTAGCTCAGCTGGCACTTATATGGCCAAAGACAGCCCAAAAACACATGTTGAGGCCCTACTATGTACCCATCCTTGTGCCAGCTGCTATAGGGTAGACAGGAAAAGCAGTAGCATGGTACCTGGTCTCAAGTGCTTAGAATCTAGTTGGGAGATAAGATTAATATATAAAACAATTAGATAAAAGACAGAAGTGTTTTGAGTTGGATTGTTCAGAGGCTAGGTGTTCTTAAGAAAAGAAGAAAGTAAATGTGGACCAGAGTTGTGAAGAACTATGAAGGGTCTTACACGCTAGCAAGTTAGCCTGCCACTTACTGTTAGAAAATACAAGATTCCTGGGGCCTCTCCTGAAGTTTCAGCCCTGGGCAAGTTCACTGTGGATTCAGTGAGATCAAAAACTGACAATGGAACATTGTGAGTAAAAGGGTTTATACCCAGCTTTATTCTCATGGTGGCTGGTCAAGTAATAGTATCCTGTCCACCCAGGGCAAGTCTGCATGCAGCAAGCCATTCTCTGCCTCTGGGCCTCTCCACTGCCTCACAGACCCACAGCCCTGGGTGGAGCTCTTTATGTAGAGTTGACAATAGCCCATTGCCAACTCGTGTGTAAGCATGCGCCTGCGAGCACTGCACGTGAGCAGTGGGCAAGCAGACCAGAGTCAGGTGAGAATCCTGGTCATGGAACTTCCATTTTCTCTACACCTGGATTACAGACAAAAGACAATTTATTGCTCATAGCAAGAGCAGTAGCCAGAGTATCCACATTTTTTACATTGGTTCCAGACTCCCACTTCCCACAGGACAATGTGAAGGGAACCAAACAACACCTGCACATGATACCTGCTGTGGTCCAGGAGAGGAACTCTGAGCTTAGGGAACTCAAGTTTATAGAATCCTTTATAAAGGACAGACAATAAGCAATAAGCATGCCTGCCCTTTGCTCCAGAGAGAGAGACACTATCTCTGCATTGCAAGGCTTTTCCCTATACAAACATTCTTGAAAAAACAGTCTATAACAATGGGCAGTCAGTGCCTCATCTGCAAGACATTCAGACACAGGAGAGACTCTGTAGTTTAAGCAAGGGTTCATGGAGTCATGGAAGGAGGTGCAGATCACAGCATAAACGACTGATGTAATTCCATGTCCATTACAAAGCACATGTCCTAAAGATGAGGAATTTCCTAAAATGGCTAATAAAATCCCAAAAGGTTCAGAGCTGCAAAGGCCTTTGTCCTATGTATTCATTTTACATGGAGATTGAGTCCCAGAGAAGTCAAGTGGTCCTAATATCCTTGTGATATACAACTAGTACATTTCTTAGGCTTGATTAGACAGGTGTATTCTGTGCCCACTGAACAATGTCCTGACTTTTCATAGTAAGACGCTGGTTGAGCACCTCATTAGAAGTAAAATTAGTACCTGCACCAGACTTACATTAATGTATTGACATCTATAGCACTCATTAAATGAACCATAAATCCAGAACACTGAAGTCATTTTCCACCGAATCAAGTCAGGTTTCAGTCAAAATAATTAACACTGTGGTATATTAAATGTCTGGTATTTGCAGGGTGTGTCTGACCAGATCATTTCAGACAAAAAAAAAAAAACTGTGGCGTCATGAAATAGTGCAGACTCCATAAACCACAATGCAAACACCCTAATCCTAATCCTAAACACCTAAAGGGCATTTAAGGGCAATAATCAACTAAAATTGACTAGTTGGTGAAGCCATCTAATGATGCACAGTTCTTTGATTACTAATCTATCTGCAGTTCACTACTTTCTCTGGATTTACATGAGCCATAAATAACAGTACTTCCTTTGTCTAAGAATACCTTTGGTCCTCAATTTGCATAGCATCAGAACTGTGGGAGAGGGAAAAGGGGAATTTAAGAACTACCCAGAGTTGTAAAACAGAACCCAAAGTATAGATAGACCTTCTTGTAGTTGGAGAAATCTGAACAAGAATAATAACCCCAGAGCAAGAAAGTTAATTGGGCTTAAATGTATTTTCTGGTTGAGTTTCATTAAACTTGGCCAAGAAAGTCAGGAATGAGTGTTGAACAAATGAAAATTCTGCTTGTGAGTTTCTGATTTCATAGGAAGATCATGCATCAGTATGAGAAAATACAGCTCTTTTCAAAACCGGGAGTATACTTGCATATAAAAACCAAACACGGAATGAAGTTAAGTGTGTCCTTCAACCATCACCCACCACCTCTAAGCTGCCAATCCAAAAGGTTGGCCAAAAAGTTACTGCCACCTGTTACTGGCTTAAGAAGAAGTAGTTTGTTCTGGCTTCACAAACTAACTTTAACAGAAGACTAGTTGAGATCAAGGGAAATGATAATCTCATTGCATCTGGCAGTGCACACATGAAGTATCTGTATTCAGTTGTGGGCAACATATGTAACAAGAAATCTTGAAAATTATAGTGTGTCCAGAAAGAAACAACCAACATGAGTAGGGGACTTAGCCTTTGAGGACGAGTTAGGGAACCTAAAGATGTTAGCCAGGAGAAGACTTAATGAGAAATCATTACTAGAATCTTCAAATCTTGGCAGGGTCATTTTTAATACATTACTTAATGTGAATGTCTCCAGAAAACAAAAATGGGACTATTGGCATAGTTGAAAAAGAAAACAAAATTCAATTCAGTAAAAGAAATTACTTTCAGATGATTGCAGTGCTCTAAAAATGGAATGGGATCCAAGTGGGCCAGGATGAATCTTTTGGATAGAAGATTCCATTTGCAGTATTATCCTCCCCCATAGGATTTACTGCACTCACAGGGATTGAGAGTTAGGACCCTAAAGGGACATACTTCCTCTGGACACCAGGACACTCAACACGCTGACTGCAAAGCGTCTGGCTCTTTGAGCCCATTAGATTAAGAACAATCCATCTATCAGCAGAGAAATCAGAATCCTGTAAATTAAAACCTTTAATTTTTTATTAGAAACTTCATATTATAGTTCCATAGGACATTGGAGGAAAGGGACCTCTAAAATCATCTTAACTTCCAGTGAAGTCCATATTGCAGATGCTGTGAACCGAGGATGCCCACGAAAATTGCAGAAGAAACACTTATGGACAACTTGAGATATTACATCAACTGACATTATTCTTGCCTTTAATTCTATACACTCTTAAATCCCTTTAATAATAAATTTTAACTTTATTTGTGCCAGGCTCACAATGCCAATGGATTTACTCTTTGCTTCTTAGCATCATCAGTTCACTGGAGAGCCAAGCTGAGTTGTGGCCCAAATCACAGTATCAAGCATACTCTACAAGCACAGTTGACACAGACAGTATGAATCACATTCCCTGTAGCTCCTGCTGGGTTGTAGACTCTTCTAAATATCTCCCATATCCACCCAGCTCTCTGGCCCATGTGGTATATTTCACACTTCCCTTCCACTACAAAGAACACCATTGTAGGTGTAGTAACTGTAAACTCAGTGCCTATACAACAAGGAACCAAGGAAATGGATATTCTCTCTGTATTACTACAGTTTCCACCCACTTCAGTATGCTGAGGCATGTCCTGTTGACTCAGGACCCACTGCACAAAGAGGAGAAACTAGGATAGTCATATGGCCTCTCCCACCTCTCTTAGTTTTTCTCACAGTGCAGACCTAGCATGGAAAAACTTACCCATTACATTTTCAGTCTGTTCAAGCCTGGCTGTTGATACGCTAAAAGAGATTTAGGGAATTTAGAAAAATCCTCTCTCAACAGTGTCTAGCTTTCAAGCTGTATCCCTGGTATGGAATTCTATTTTGAATGTCAAAAACTGAAGGTTAATGCTTTCTTTCATATTTTTATTCCCAATCTTATCTCCTTAGCAGTAGATGGATATCTTAAACTAAGAAAAAAATCATACTCCAAAATTTAAATAAGAAAAACATGTTTAGAATTTTTATACTATTTCCTCCATTACATGTATTATCATTTATTCAGCATTATTCATGGTATATGTTTGTCATATATAACACTGTATACATCAGGATTCTTTTACAAGCAGGTGAGAGGAACCCAAATCAAAGTGTTTAAGAAAGAAAAAAACGAGGCCTTATAAACTGGGGAGTTCAAAGTGTAACCTGCCTCAGGCACAGATGAACTGAAGAGCTCACACACTATCCTCTCAACTTTCTTCTATATGTTGAGTTCATCCTGTAGACAGACTCTCTCCATGTGCAAGGGAAGATGACTGCCCACAGCCCTGGGTTTATATGCTCCTAGTTTATAAATCCAAATAGAAAAACATTTATATCCACTGGAGCACCCAAAAGTCAAAGCAGAGAAGGCATATGTTTGGACCTGCTTAGATCTGTTGCCCAACTGTAGCCCATTGTTGCCAAGGGATAGGATACTTTAGTAGCCCAACTTAAATTATACCATTACCACTAAAGCCAAGGGTGGGGGCGTCATGATTAACGACCCACCAGAATCACATGGAATGGCAACAGGGACAGTCCCTGAAAGGTCATAGAGGGTTGGATATAACGCAACATCAGATGTCAACCCTACAAACATCACCTCAATAGGTAAAATTCTTCAACTTATTCTCATTTAAATGAAATAAACTAAATACCTTTCCCAAAGTGATATGTTTGTGTAATAGAGCTGGAATTCAAAGCCAACCTGGACTGATTACCAATGGCCTTTTACTCTTTTCCTTGTATT